TAAGAGAGCCATCTTTGGCTACATAAGCTTCGACCTAAGGATCATCATCCTCATGATCTGTAAAGATCTCCGGGAAATAAACCGTATGATCAGGAGGTGGTACAGATTCTTGAAACATCCTTGAGGTACCCTCCCCACAGATGGCGCACAATGTTTTGGGTGTTGTTGTCCCTCGGGAGAGTTACAACTCAATGACTAATCCGACTGCGTATGTACTTGCAAAACAACGGAGACTTCGGGTGTTTGGAGCTCCGCCTCCGACGGTCAATGTAGTACTTAAATATGAGTGGGAGAAAATGCGGAAAATAAAGTGAGATCTTCTTTGATTCCGAGATCAGGTGTTTTTGTGATGTGTGATAATGTAGGGTATTTTATAATAATTGTAGATGCCCCAAAAAAAGGGGTAAATCTCCCTATTTATGGGGTCATTGATAAATGTGCCCCTATTAGATTACTCTGACCTAATTATTCTGGGCTACGCAGAATTACGACTTTCTCGGGTTTGGGCCATTAAAGGCCACCTTTTTCTCCCGAGTTCTGGGAAGGACACGTGTCGATTATAGATTGGTCCAATTCGGACCAACCAGGGTATGACACGTGTTGAGAGATGATTGGTCCATGTGGCATAGGTAAAATTACCTGAAACACATGTATTATTTGATTTATGATTTGAATAATGTATTATCTCATTCAAGCTTGGGGGAGGGTATTCTATCATGTTTGGTGGGATGTTGATTCATATATGTCTTGCACATTTTTGTATGCATTTCCATGTTCTTTATCTTGAAAAACTCAAAAAATATTTTTGTTTTGGGGAACGTTACCCCACCACGAGGGCCACTGTAAACAGGACCCGTGTCAACCGAGAATTAGTTTAAAAGAGGCCAATAGTAGTACGACATGTGGAATCCACTGTTAAGAGAAGGAATGGCGGCCTTTAAGGGCCCAATTCCCAAAAACCCGCCGAAGCGAAGGCAGCCCACCAAATCTAGGTCAAGTGACCTACATAATGGCACACTTTTCCCAACGACCCTATAAATAGGGAGATTTCCCCCATTTGTGGGACAGAGACATTAATATTCTTGACATTCTCTTACATCAGAGAAATCTCCTAATCTCGGAATCTGAGAAGATCTCACTTTTACCTTTTCCGCACTTATTACTTTCTCCATCATGTTCTAACTTGATCGTCGGAGGTGGAGCTCCAATCACTTGGAGTTTCCATTTTTTTTGCAGGTACAGGCGTTCACCGACAAGTCTTCGAGTCGTAACTCTCCCAAGGGACAAAAAACCCCAAAACATTTAGCGCCGTTTATGGGGAGAGTGCCTCAATGATGGTTCAAGAGTCTATACCGCACCCTGATCCCAATAGTTATCACCCGGAGGTCTTTACATACCATAAAGAGGATGACCCTCAGGTCGAAACATACATGGCTAGGGATGGGTCCCTCATCTCTAAGCGCATCTGTCCCAAAGACACTCTGGAATGAGGGGAAAGCTAGGCGGGAACAAGCAGGCCCCCCAACAAGCTAGAAGAGGAAACCCATACGACAAGAGGATCAGCCTTATTCACTCGGGACGAATTCATGAAATTCATGACTAGTTTAAAGGGTGAAATTAAGGATTTGATCTGTAAAAACAAGGCTGGCCCAAACAAGGGCAGTCGGCAAAGTTAGAGGTACCGTCAGGTTGAGAGGAGGAAGCCAGTTAACGACTGGCAGCCAACTCCTCGTCCAAAGGAGAAGGCAGCCACAACACTTGACTGGTCTAAGATCCTATAAGGGTACGAGGAGACCCCGCCGACAATATCAACAGAAGGGTAACAAAAAATCTACACCTGACACTTGACAAATAATTAAGCGTAGGAGAAGTCAGTAGTCGTCCTAATCAACCTCTACTTCAAGCATTCCAGACAGTTTTAAAGCAACTTCTTCAAAGAATACTCAATCATTGCTTGAGAGTTATACAGGCGGCCTGTCCTTCCATATTGGCCCTAAAATATATGCAGTCGGCCCCCTATGGAGGACAGACGACATACAATCATGTCCATCCCCTGGACTGGTAGCTCTATCTGCTAAGACTTGGTGAACAACCTTCTGCGTTCACCAGGGACATAACCGAGGCGGCAAAGCAGGCCAAGGTAAAAAATGTATTGGTAGGTACTGATGACGGTACCTCTAACCTTGAGGACCACCTCATGGCATACACCAACCACATTTATTTACAGGGGTTGGATCAAGCTACGTGGTGCCGCTGTTTTCCGGCCACATTGAAGGGCATAACCTAACAATGCTTTGGCAACTTGCCGGCCAAATGCATAGACAGCTTCAAGAAGCTTACCTACTTGTTTGTGTCCAACTTCACCATGAACATCCCTGCAAAGAAAACAAGTTTAGACTTGAGCACCATTAAGTAAGGGGAGAGGGAAGGACTTCGCTATTACGTTAGACGGTTTAACCTGACCAGAATCCAAATTCAGGGGTTGTCTGACGATGTAGCTTTTACAAACTTCTTTAAGGTCTGAAGGACGGGTCAACATTCAAGTTCGGCCTCGTTAGAAAGAGGGTCTTCACCCTTAGTAGGCGCTTCTATAGGCGGAAAGCTTTATACAAGCAACCGACCTTTGCTCGCCTAGCAACCGGTCGGACTCCAAGAAGTCTGACAAGCAAACAGATAGTCTGACTGCTCAACCGGCTAAGAAACTAGAAGAGAGCAAAAAGAGAAAATATGTATGGGCGTTTAATGAATCTAACCTATTTCGGGGGTTTTTGTCCCTTGGGAGAGTTACAACACTGAAACTGGGTTCAGCAACGGACGCTTGTACCTGCAAAGCAAACGGACCGCTGGATGGTCGGTGGTCCGCCTCCGAAGATTAAGTTAGTAAACGTTAGGTAATAAAATGTGCGGAAATAAAGTTATCTGCTCGGATTCCAAGCTCAGGTAAAGTGTTGTATGTTCCTTGAAAACGACATCTCTGTAATAATAGCGAAACTGACGTGTTGTCTCGTATTACGTGTATCTCCGTCTCTCATAATGTAAGAATGTCCCTATTTATAGGGTCCTTTTTGGAAAGTGTTCCCTCCCTTGGATCTGGTGACCTAGGGATTAGGGCATGCCGTTTTTTAAGGGATCCTTGGGAATTGGGCCTTGAAAGCCGCCATTCCTAGGGGGTAATATCAGCTCGACACGTATCACCATTTAGAAGGTCCACGTAGGTGCCCCTTCCAGTGACACGTGTCATGCTCTGATTGGGCCACTTGGCAGGGTATAAAATACCCAAATCATTTGCCCCTAACAGGGGTCACGTGTATTCCACGTGGCACCTGTGACAAGTGTCTTCATGTGATTGGTTAGATTTTCAAATTGTACATTTGGGGGGAAAAATTAGTGTTTCCCCTTTCTATAAATAGGTGGGTTTGACTTCATTTTTGTTTTCACACCTTTGCGAATCTTTGCAGAATCTCTGGACTTTTGACTTTCAAAAGACTCTCAAATACCCAAACTTTGTCAAGTATCCGAAGCTCGGCCTTTCTGTTCGACTGTTTCAGCCAACCAGGCGTCTCCTAAAACCTTCTTCTAAGGTCAGCGTCTGCTCTTTTCTTTTATTTTTTTCTTGTATTTTTCATTTATTCGAATGGTTTCCCAAACGTATACGGCACGGCCTAGGTTAGCGATCAACCGGTCACCGGGGACGGCTGAATCTAGAACTAGGAGTGCCGAATGCTCGTTCGAGAACTTTCCTTTAAGTACATCTCCAAATCCGACAGTGTCTGTGCATCTGCACGACACGATGGCTCGAACAAAGCAAAAAACAAGGAGATATAGGCCAGATGGTTCCTTTTACCATTCGGACAGTGAGACTCCAAATTCAGACGGCTCCATTAGGGTGCCAGTAAGCAAAATTTCTAAGCACCCCCCAAACCCTTGTTCTGACCTTCCCCATACTCCAACATACTATCCTCCCCCTTCTTCAAGCGGCACCCCTAGTGATACTATTCTAAGGGAAGCCGACAGTAAGTACCAGTCTGAGCCTTCAGAACAGGCGTCGGAGGAGAGTCTAGGGGAGGACCCTGCTGGCCCTAGCCGGCAATCCCTTAGCTCTGGGGATAGTTCCAATGACGATTCGGCCTCGTCATCTTTTGATAGCGCCCCAGCTAATTCAGAAGAAGCCCAAGCAAAAATATAAACTACAAAGGAATCCTTGTCAGTAGAAAAAGGGGAAGGCTGGGCAGAGCCGAGTGCTTCCAGGCGCTTGGAACGCACTCCCTACTATCATCATGTTCCGCAAAGCAAGCGGACATATATGACATCCGGTCTTGCCAATTTAAAGCGCAAGACCGTAATGGGGCATGGATTTTCCTTGTGTGTCCCCAACAAGGATGATACTATAACCTGGCCCTCCCTGGAAAGTTATAAGGACCAAGCCTTCGGCTGCTACGAGGCGATCCTTCAGGCTGGTTTACGCTTCCTTCTTCATCCGGTCGTGGAGAGGATTTTGGACGGATACCAGCTGGGTATCTAGCAACTTGTACCGAATTCCTGGATCAATATTATCGGGTACGTTGTCGCATGTGAAATGCTAGAGGTGGATCCCAGCTTTGAGGCATTCGCACACAGGTACTATCTTAGCAGAGGCGCCTGCCAAGGGCGGCGAAGGCTGGTACACCTTGTCCACCTGCAAGGGGTACATGATGGCAGTCGGTAAAGAGAACAAATGTAAGGACTAGAGAACAAAGTTCTACATTGTCCATTCCTCTGAAAGCCGACCGAACCAAAAATATAATAGGTGGAACAAGGATCCGCCCCTCCTGGTTGGTAAGAGCGCCTTGCCCCCTCTCCCTAGGCGGGCCTAGGAGGAAATTTTTGACAGGGGTCTGTTTAAAGTGTCCGTTCGGACAAATGAGCATGGGGAGAAAATAGTGGTCCCCCAAAGCTACATTCCCCTTTACAAGTGGCTAGAAGATGGGGTGTACTTGAACGCTTGTGGGCTAATTTCTGAGATGCCGAGAGGTAGTCGGCCGTCTGATCTTATGCAAACTTTAAATTATTTTTCAGTGTTTGTTTATAAAACCTAACTCTTTCTTTTGGTGCAGACAAAGAAACGGAAAAGCTCTCGGCAACAAAGAAGTCGGCTTCCGTCTCTGCAGCAAAGTACCGCACCAACGTCCTTAACAGGGCGAATGACGAGCAGAAAGCAGCCGGAACTCCCAAGGTTGCTGTTTATGACACGGTATATTTTTCAATAGAGGTTAAATTTTGCCCGCCTGCTTTTCTGATTCGTTTCTTTTTGTTCACGCAGAGCGGTTCCATCAGGCCTTCTCCCTCTAAACAATCCCAACCCAAAATCCAAAAAACTGGGGCGGGTAATGTGAGTGCATCCGGCAATAGCAGGAAGCACGGTACTCACAATCCCAGGAGAGGGGACGACTCTACTCTCAAAGCTGGCAGGGAGGTCAGCAAACCGGATGCCACTCAGGCATCGAAGGGTGGCTTTAAGCAACCCAGCACCGCTGTCGGCTCAGCTGGAGAGAAGAGGCGTCATGGGAAGGAGGAGGAGGCTCAGCCGGACGGTATGAGCCGCATCTTCATTGAATTCCAGTATCAAGATAGTTTCTTAGAACTTTCTTGACTAACTTATAATTTTGCAGCTCCTGTGCAAAGGCTGACCGTCGTCCAGATGGCCAAGGAGATGCTGCGAACGCTCGATCCAGAAGACAAGGCATCCGTAAGAGGAGTCGACACCCTTAACTTGGATGCCATCTTGGGGAACCTCTGTGAGGTAAAACAATTAGCTAAATGTTCCTTAATATTTAAGCACATATCCGACTTGTTTTGACCATTCGGCTCTTTTCTCATTTTCAGGCCATGCCGCGCGTCCAGGGGCTAAGAAGGCCAATCTAGGAAAATTCTAAAGAGGTCACAGCCACTAAAGCTCAAGCCGAGTCTGCCTAAGACCGAGCTCAATTTGAAATTGCTCAGAATGAGCTTCTGACCCTTGATATGATGTATTCCCATGCGGACGCCAATTTGCAGGTGAAGAAGGACTTGGATTCGGCCTGCTCCAAAATCAATGAACTTAAGGCCGAAGTCAAAGGCCTTAAGGAAAAGCTTGAGCCTCTTCAGGAGGCCAAGAAAAAGGCCGAGAGGGCCAAGGAGCGGGTTGGCCGTCTAGCGAACCAGCAGCAACAACTGAAGGCCAAGTTCCAGTCCCAGGCTGAGGAGGAGAAGCATGCCCTTGTTAAACAAATGATGAAAGACTACGATACCATCATGCGGATGGCATGGGAGGCGCTACAGCCGGGTGCTGATTTTGGCATCTGGAAATCTAAGTTTGATCAAGCAAACGAGGATTTCAATGCTGAACTCCTTCGCCAGGCTGAAGAGGAGGCGAACAAGGATGACGCTGATGGCGATGAGGCCGACTCCTCTTCAGGCTCCTCTGGGGACGAAGACGGGGAAGAGGAGGATGATCAAAATGAAGAGCAGCCGGCAACTGATGATGCGGCTGCCAATGTTAATAATCCCTCTGCCCCTTAACGCTTTTTAGTAGTTATTTCTGCGGCCGAATGGCCATACATTTCATCTTCCGCCCTGCGTGCCAAGTATCCATGTATCTTTACCGACCGAGGGGTCGGGTAATTTGACTTTTTCTCTAGCTTTACCAGCAAACATTCTTGCACAGTCGTCTGGTGGCGATTAGGCCTTTTAATTTTAAAATCATTCGGCCGTTGGGCTGAAGTTATTCATATTGTTGTTCTTTAAAAAAAGATTTCATTGCATGTTTTTTGGCCAAGTATTATAACTTGTATATCTTGCTGTCGTTCTTGCCCCTGGACGAATGTCTTGTGGTTTCGGTTGAGTGGATTGATTGACTTGGAAATTACTGATACTTAATAGAGTATGCATGGTTTCTAAGTCAATCAATCACTATTGGTGATTGCCCCAAACCACGCGACAGACGGCCATCCGGAGCTAATGTATAATTGTTTTCATTCGGCCATTGGCTCAAACGAAATACAAAATTCTTGCCTTAGCAAATTTGAAAAGAAATCCTTCGCCTGTTTTGCCCCAAGAGCTAAGAAAAGGGGGTTTTTATCCCTTGGGATAGTTACAACACTGAAACTGGGTTCAGCAACGGACGCTTGTACTTGCAATGCAAACGGACCGCCGGATGGTCAATGTTCCGCCTCCGAAGATTAAGTTAGTAAACGTTCGGTAATGAAATGTGCAGAAGTAAAGTTATCTGCTCAGATTCCAAGCTCAGGTAAACTGCTGTCTGTTCCTTGAAAACGACAACTCTGTAATAAATGCGAAAGTGACGTGCTATCTCGTATTGCGTGTATCTCCGTCTCTCATAAATGTAAGAATGTCCCTATTTATAAGGTCCTTTTTGTAAAGTGTGCCCTCCCTAGGATCTGGTGACCTAGGGATTAGGGCACGCCGTATTTTAAGGGCCGCTTAGGATTTGGGCCTTGAAAGCCGCCATTCTCAGGCGGCAATATCAGCTCGACATGTATCACCATTTGGAAGGTCCACGTAGGAGCCCCTTCCAATGACATGTTTCATGCTCTAATTGGGCCACTTGGCAGGGTATAAATTTCCCAAATCAGAAAGCATCGACACCAAGTGGCATCATCCAACCCCTGTAATTACATGAGGTTGGTGTAAGCCATGTGGTGATCATCCGGGTTGGAGGTTCCGTCATAAGTACCTACCAACACATTTTTAACCTTAGCAGGCTGTGCCGCCTCATTTATTTCCCGGGTGAACGCAGAAGGTTGTTCACCCAGGCGGAGCAGATGAAGCTGTCAGTCTAGTGGTTGGACGTGGTAATATGCCGCCTGACCTCCGAAGAGGGCCGGCTGCATGAAATGTGGAGAATACGGACCGTAGACCAGAGGTGGTACATACGGTACATTCCCAATCATCTAAGGGCCAGATTGGACGCTATTACCGCTTGTATGGATCTCATGCAAGGAAGGCACATTCCCTACAGATGTATTCTTGAAGCTATTTGGAAAGCTAGATGTATGAGCTAACTCAGACAGCTGCTGATTTCTCTTGCGGGTGATAATCTCCTGGGCACCAAGAGTTGATTTTTCGTTTCCCACCGAGTGTTGAGTCTGGCGGGGATTGTTGGTATTCTTCTAAGGCAGCAGAATCTTGGACCAATCAATAGTCTCGGCTGCCTTCTCCTTTGGATGAGGAGTTGGCTGCCGATCTCTAACTAACTTCCCCTTCTCTAGAGGAGTCTTTATTGCCGACTGACCCCTACTTGGGCCAGCCCGGCTCTTCGTGATCAGATCTTTAATTTCACCCTTGAAATTTGTCATGAATTTCATGAGTTCGTCTCGAGTGACTGGAGCTGATCCACTGGCCGTATGGGTTTCCCCTTCCGGCTGCCCAGGGGGTCGGTTTGTACCCGCCTGGCTTGCACCCCGCTCTAGAGTGTCTCGAGGCTAGATGCGCTTGGTTATCAGAGAGCCATAACTGGCTATATAGGTTTCTTCCTAAGGATCATCATCCTCTTGGTCAGTAAAGACTTCTTGTTTGTCTACTGGACGCTTAGGAGGCGGTACAGACTCTTGAACCATCCTTGAGGTACTCTCCCCACAAACGGCGCCAAATGTTTTCGGTGTTTTTGTCCCTCGGGAGAGTTAAGTCACAAAGATTGGTCAGGTTGAGCTGTACCTGCAAAAACAAAGGAGACTCTGGGTGGTGGAGCTCCACCTCCAACTTTCAAGTTAGTAACTTGAAAGAGAGTAAAGAGTACGAAAATTTAGATGGGGATCTGCTGGATTCCAAGCTCAGGTGTTTATTTGATGAGAGATAAAGTAGGTGTAATAAATGATTATATTGTGTCTCTAAAATGGGGAAATATCTCCCTATTTATAGGGTCATTGGTAAGAGTTCCCCTATCTAGGTCATTTGTCCTAGGTTTTGGTGGGCTGCGCCGAATTACGGCGCTTCTTGGGATTTTGGCCCTTGAAGGCCGCCATTTCAGAAACTTATTTGAAGGGGACATGTGTTAAGAGACTATGGGGCCACTTGGGCCATCCTGAACTTGACACGTGGCCTCCTGTCATTGGTCCACATGTCTAGGGTATTTTTACCCTAAACAATAGCGGTCAGAGCCAGGCGACATTATTTTTGGCCCACTTTGGAGTTAGATGCTATGGCGTTTGTTAGAAAATGTGACAAGTGCCAACGATTTGGCAAGCTTATCCATTGCCCGGCTACTAATTTGACGGCAATCCATAGCCCAGTCCCGTTTGCTAAATGGGGCATGGACATCTTAGGTCCTTATACGCCTGCACCAGGCGCAAAACGTTATATTCTTGTGGCTGTGGATTATTTCAACAAGTGGGTGGAAGATGAGGCGGCAAAAGGCATCAAGACAAAAGATGTCATCTCCTTCATTTGAAAGATTATTATTACCCGGTTTGGGGTACCTATGTCTATGGTATTTGATAATGGACCACATTTTGAGACGCCTCAGCTCAAAACTTGGTTGGGAAATCAAGGGATTTCAAACTGTTTTGCATTAGTTGGCTGACCCCAAACAAATGGCCAAGTTGAAGCCTTCAACAATCTCATCTCAGACGGTATCAAGAATAAAATAGAAAGAGCTGGTTGGTATGGGCTGAAGAGTTAATTCACATCCTATGGGCCATCCGGATAACTGCAATGGGGACAACAGGCAAAACCCCATTTCTCATGGTTTATGGAGCTGAAGCCGTCTTTCCCATCGAGCATTATGAGCCGACTTTGCGAGTCATGCTTTACAATGAAGAGGCAAATTGGTAGGCCATACGACTAGCATTGGACTCGATCCAGGAGCGCAGGGGCAATGCTACCTTGGGTCATGAGATCTATCGTCTAGAAATGACTCGTGCTTACAACAAGAGAGTGCACAAACGACCCTTGAAAGTTGGGGACTTTGTGTAACGAAAAATGGAAGAAACAGGTAGGGCTAATGAGCAAGGAAAGCTAACTCCTAATTGGGAAGTGTTTTGGGTGTTTTTGTCCCTCGGGAGAGTTACAACACGAAGATTGATCTGGAGTGAGTTGTACCTGCAAAACTAACGGAGACACCGGTTGGGTGGTGCTCCGCCTCCGACGCACAAGTTAGAAACTTGAAGGGAGAAAAAGGTGCGGAAATTTAGGTAGGGTTCTGCTCGGATTCCAAGCTCATGATGTCTCTATGAAAGAGTCAAATGTGTAATAAATGGTAAAACGTGCCCTCAAAAAGAGGGACATCTCCCTATTTATAGGTTCTTTGGGATTTGTGCCCCTGATTAGGTCACTGAACCTTTATAATTGGTGGGCTACGCCGCTTTGCGGATTTCTCGGGATTTGGGCCTAAAGGCCGCCTTTTTCCCTTAATTTCTGGAGTGACACGTGTCAAGCAGGGATTGGAACACTTTGGGCCCTTCTAAGGCTGACACCCTAAACATTTTACCCTCATAGATGTGACGTGGCACGCCACGTGGCATCTGTGACAAGTGTCACGCTCCGATTGGAGGTAATTTTACCATTAAAGAGTAACCGTTCACCTTTCGGGTAAATTACGGAAATGCCCCGGTATTTAACTTCTACCTATAGCCGTTTTACCCTCATAATCTTGTACGTTTACAAAAAATTTGCTAGAGAGAACTTTGAGAGAGCAGAAGTCATCCGTTTGAGTCAGGCGCAAGCAAGAAAGCTCGTTATCCATCGACCCAGCCGGACCCGCCTAGTTCCAAATATTACATCAAAAGGTACCGTCTCTACCTCTCTTAGCTCTTTTTCTTTTTTCACCGTTTGTACATATTTCTTGCAATAAATGGATGCATCACCAACACACACGGCACAGCCTAGGTTAGAGTCCAGCCGGTCACCAGGGACGGCCGAGTCTAGGACTGGGAGTGTCGTCTTGGGGTGTTGGGACCACCCTTTGCCTTGGATTTCGACCAGTTTCGTGTCTGTGCAGAATACAATGGCTCTGATAATGCAGACGACGACTGATCCAAATTACAAGAGCAAAGTCTCAGGCGGCCAAACGCCCGAGGGAGAAACGTCTTGTCAGGGAGACCAGACGGCTCCGGAGAGATCCCCTCCGCGCGCCCCTTCAACCCCCGCTGACTCTTTTTTGGAAGAGTGTGACCAAGGCGGCGACCAGGCCGTCTCTTCCCCCTAGTCCCAAAATGAGAAAGACACGGAGAGCGACAGCTCCGCCTCTACCTCTGAGAGTAGTGATGATTTACCCCCGCTTCAGGATAGCAAGGAGGAGGAAAGGAAAAAAATGGAAAGAGAAGGACGATCCCTTCAATATCCACGTCTCCTCCAAGGACCGGATCCAAATGGAAGAAAACATGAAGAATTTTACTCAAATGCACCCTCTAGGAGACGGGTATAGGATCCGGGTGCCACTTGAGAATGGCACCATCGCCTGGGAGGACGATCAAGAGAACGCAAACAACTATTTCGGCTATTATGAGGCGGCGTTCAAGGCTGGCCTTCGCTTCCCTCTTCACCAGGCGGTGAAGGCAATTTTA